TCCTTCACATTGTCCGGCACTTTTGCACAAGGTGCTACGTTCTTGTGAGAGCATGATAAGTGCTCCTTCATGCGGGTTACTCCGCCCTTCACAACTTTCTCACAAAAGTTGCACTTTAAATAGACATAGCTCTTCTCTCCGCCGCCAATGTCAACTTGTACACTATACTTCCAAGAAGGGTCCCTCCGCAATGACGTATTCGTCTTTTCTTTACCTCTAACCATGTCTCCTAAAGCAAAAAAACAAATACACTAAAAATAAATTAAAAAAAAAACTAAACCCTAGTTTCTCTTAAACTTGCAAAATATATCCCTAAACTTAATAAAAATACCTAAAATCCAATGTGGAGTACTCCTTTAGGTTGACCGGAAGTTTCCACTTCGCCGGAGAGAGGCGGCGCCGGCGGGAGGAGCGGCGGGAAGCAAGGCCGACCGCGTGCGGGAGCTCGGAATCGCGACCTGGAGCGTGCGGGAGGGAGAAAAGTCGGGTATGCTGAAGGATACGGGTTAAAGGAGAGAAAAAGACCTCATTTTAAGTGAGTGGACCCTACCCAGAGAGGCGTACGCCTCATAATGAGTTGAGCAATTGCGCCTCTGAGGCGCGCCTCAGCCCCAGTGAGGCGTACGCCTCTTGAAAGCCCAAAATTGCGTAGGCTATGAGGCGTTTTTGGGCAAAATTGCGCAAAGGCGCGCCTTGAGGCGCGCCTCTAATTGCGCAATTTTAAACAGAGGTCGGAAAGGCTATAGTCTAGTGACAGTGGCTGGAGAGAGCGTAGTCGTGTGAAGGAGGTTGGTGAAGCCGTACTCTGGAAACAAAGGTCAGAGAGACCATAATTGGGCACAAGCGTCGGAGGGATTGTAGTCAGCTAGCGATGAAGATAAGAATAACCGTAATTGACGGGTAATGAAAGTCGGAAGAACCGAAGTCGGGCAACTGAGATCAAAGGATCGTAGTTAGGGAGACTGAGGTCGAAAGAATGTAGTCGGCGGGCGAATAAGGTCGAAGGGACTATAATCGGGTGACAAAGGTTGTAGTAGGCAAAAGTACGACAATGGAGGTCGAGTGGAGGTCCGATGGTGGCCGGGAAGAGGTCTGGCAGCAATGGCAGGAAGAGGTCAAATGACGGTGATCGGTTGACAAAAGTTTCGATTAGAAGCCCATTAGAAGGAGGTTTGACAGCGATGGTCAGCGAGGGTTTGCTGGTGGTGGTGCTTGGGTGGAGCTCCAAAATTCTTTAAGCCCTAGAGCTTTCTTTCCTCTCTATCTAAAAGAGTACAAGCTCCGCCTTTCATGTGGGGAGTGGGGGTATTTATAGATTTTTGGCAGTGGCATGTCCCATAAATATGGAGAAAATTTTAGAGTAAACCAGAAGCACTCTATCGAATGACCTGCATTGATTCTCTCGATCCTATATTGTTTATTCACCATTTAGGTGCCTAAATGATGTTGGAATCAAGCGATCTTAGGCTCGTTGGATTTGCCTCGTCGAATTGCTAGATTCGATCAGAAGCATGCCATATTCAGAGATCATTTGATCACCAATTAAATATCATGAAATTTCTAATTATTCTTCAGGGCCTCGATTTGAGCTCATTTGGGCTCAAATTAGACCAATTTTGTTGTTATTGGGTTTGCCTCATTAAGACTTTTAGTTTGACTAAGTTTGCTAAAATCAGAGTTCAGATGGTCATGATTTTAATTTTGGAAGTTTTTAATTCAAATATGCATCGAGATTTGTACCTGATCAAGATGATTTTTGGTGGCATATCAATAAGAATTGAGTTCATGCTTGCGGGTAAGTCTAAAGTTGGTAATCTTCCGGGGAGGAAAATTGAACCGACTACAATCGGTTCGATTGAACTGATTGTATTGTTCTCACCACGAGGAAGATGAAGGGGAGAGACAGGGTGACCGAGAGAGATACAGAGAGATTGAAGTGTGTAACGACTAGACGAGAGTGTGAGAGAGAGAGAGAGAGAGAGAGAGAGAGAGAGAGAGAGAGAGAGACAAGGAGCAACCATGATCTGGGGAGAGAAGGCAAGGGCAAGCGATCTGTTGGAAATTGAATAAGAAAGAGAGGGAGTGCTGTTGAACGAATAATGGAGAGAGTGGAGACTGAATGGGGAAAACAGGAGAAAGAGAGAGACAAAGACAATTAAAGTTTAAGCAAGGAAAAGGCACGAGAAGGTAAGAATTTGTGCTAGTAATTCAAGCATTATCATCAAGAAATTTAAATGACTCCATAGAAAATTGCTATTACCAAGAGCTAGCAAAAGTAAAACAAGTTTCTGGAACTGTTACCTGGGTATAAGCATCTACGGCCTCTAAGTATGCTTTTCTTTTATAGGCATCATCACCCCTTGATTTAGCTTCCAAAGCTTTCTCCTTAGCTTCAGGTGCTACCTGCACAACTAACTAAATATAACAGGAAGAAAACGACACGAGTTGCAAAAAATTCTACCCTGGAATTCTCGTCACCAGTAGTCTATAAATTATGTTAGAAAAATTGAGGTTAAACAAGCATGATAAGAATTCTCAATTGAAAAAACTTTCTTCCAAACAACGCCACAGGAAGAACAAGAAAATTGTTCATAAAATGTCAATTTTAGAACATGATGTTTTCTGCGAGAGTGTCAGAATTCAGATCAATAGAAACAATGGCACAAATCAAATTGTTTAAAAAGGGTTAACCAAAATGATGGTTAATTTGAAGTATGCTAAGCAGAAATGTGCGCCTATCAATAGAAAGATACAGAAAGAAAAATTTAGAAGGTTCTTACGCAACCTCAACTATCTCTGAGTTTTCTGAAGTGAGGCCTTTCAGATCTTGAGTTTCCTTTGCACTTTCCTACAAAGTACATCATATTTCCATAAATAAAAATACTCACATAATATGCTAATTTATTCAAAATTCAAGCATGTGCGATATAGTCAGAAAGAAAAATAGTGACTTGTATCAGAGACAACAAAGGAAAACCAAAACTAATGAACGTACCTGCTCCTTGCTTGTCTGAGACTCCATGAATTCAATAATGCCATCCACACTCCATTTTGAAAGGTTCGGAAGTGGAGATGTCACAGGAAAAAGAATCTGAACAGCTACACGATTGCCTCTTGCAGCAGCAACTTGTATAGGTTTTAAACCATCCTGCAACCAAAACAAGCATTGAAATGGTGCATTTTTCCATCACCTTGCAATCCAAAAATAAAGGGTATTGTTTTCAGTGGGACAGGGCCTCAGCCAGGGTAAAAAAACAGAAGAAAAAAAAGCCATGATAAACACTCGACATCTGCAAGTACTTGTAATGGTTGAGTTACCAAACATTCAATCAACTGATAGATATAATAAGAATTGCGTTGACCTTTACCACCTGCATCGTAGCCAAGGCCACACAGCATCTTTGCATAGTCTGATCTTGTCTTTGGGCAACTAAACAGGGGTCAAAGGCCCATAAAGTCAGGCTTTTCTATGATAAAACTAGCTATAGGACTAGCATCATTTCTCCAACAATTATGAATGAATTTATCCCTGAAAATGTTAGTAAATTAACTATTTAAATCAGAGCTGATTATCAAATTTAATTTTAACGTTGTTCCTCGTCTAAAAAATAATTCATTTTCAATTTTCTGAGTTCATAAATATAGCTCAAGTACATTAGTTATCATCAAACATCAACAAATTGTCGCTTCAAAAAATCCCTACCAAACTCTGTTCAATGTATATACATACAGATTAATTTTTCAAAAGACACATTGATATTATAAACAACATTACTATAACATTTCACCTTTTAGTGAGACTAGGTTTTTCATAAGCAATAGCCCTAATAATTAATTATCTCTCTTGATCGTGATAGATAATATTTTATTAAGATTAGTCTATTGGCTATAAAACACTTATATTTTATAAGCAACAATTTGAATTTGACAATTGGGAGCTTTATAGATAGTGTTACAACCTTATGATTATGACATCTAATGGTTGATCTCATCATAAGGAAAGCATGAGCCTTGGTATGTGCATAGCATTTTTAAATTTAGGATATATTTTATCTTTGCAATATACGACAATCATGAAATTGCCTAGCACACAAATAAAGGCCATGCTTGTTCTTATTTTTTTAACATGGAGATTATTGTGTCATGATCATTGTTAATTCTATTGGATTGGGCCTAGTTGCCGATTCGATGCTAATAAACCAACACAAACTTGTGTAGGACTGATACCCATATGATGGGAACATGTATTACAAATTATAAGCAAATAGTTTCCTAATAATGGGTAGGCCACAATCACCCTGCATCAAATAAATCAAAGCATCCAAAAAGTAAGTTTCTCTCGATAATGTGTGGGCCATTAAAAGAGAAACATAAAATTAGATTAAGTGTTGCAAAGATGAGGATGCTCAGGTGGATGAGTGGTTTTACTCTTAGAGACAGGATTCAAAATAAGCATATAAGTGAAAAGATTGGAGTAGCTCCAGTGGCAGATAAGATTATAGAGAGTTGTCTTAGATGGTTTGGACACAAAACGTTGGCCTTTTGATGACTTGGTTAGAAAAATAGATGTATTAGATTTGACTTATGTTAAGAAAGGTAGAGGTAGACTTAAAAAAACATAATTAGAAAATATTAGAAATGATCTTTTTTATTATATTTAAATGAGTTTTTGACTCTTAACATGACAATGATAAAGAAGATTCATGTAACTGATCCCATAGTGGAATAAATGCTTGATGTTGTTGTTGTTGTTTGATAATGTGTGGGCCACCAATCATCATATTTCAAGTAAACCTAAGAGCTCATTAATTTTCTTCTTGATAATGGGCAAGGTTACCAAAAGACCATTATTAGATTTTCAAAGATCGTCAAGCTAGAGTTAAGAAAATAAAGAATGACTAACTTTAAAATTACTAACAGTCTTCCTCGTGAACAAGCCAAAAGACGGCCGTGCATGATAATATCCCACCCAAAAAACTCATGCTTAAGCTAGTGTTCCAATGCTTTCTAGTTTTACAAGTCTCAACATGCAAATAAAGAAGACTTCCTAGTGATTCAAGAAAATTATGATCCGAATGAAGATGTCCGCCTATTAAGATCTTCACTTCAATCCTTAAGTTTGAACCTACATATCAGTGTGGGTTTGACCATGAGAAAATTTCAAACTTGGATATGACAGCCAAACAATAGGGAAAAAAGGAGTCGCTTCTCAGCTCGATAACCAAATAATCTTTTTAGAAGAAACTTCCACATCTACTTCCTCTCACTTAATGGACAACCAAGCATGCCTTAGGCAGTGCTTGAATTTAATGCTATATACATGAGAACAATTAGGCAGTTGCTGAGGAATAGAGAGTATTTCATGGTCGAAGTCTTTATCAGAACTTGTATGAATCAAAGCAATCATACCTCATCAAGAACATTTGGATCTCCTCCAGCATTAAGTAAACAATTGATAATTTCCTTGCTCCCAGCATCCGCAGCAACATGCAACGGAGTTGCTCCACCCGCTTTAATATTGGTGCTAGCACCTGCCTATCAAAAAGGAAATATTCAAGTCAAGACTACTAATGTGTACTCAAAATCTATGACAAAGAAAAACATTTAGTACTTCAAGGCTTGTTTTTCTTTTGAGAATTACATGAATATGTTATTGCAGGAAAATATATTATATTGTATGATTAATAGTAACTTGATCAAACAGAGAACCATAATTTTTACTCCAATAAACTTCTTCACTTCTACTCTCCTTGCATTCCAAATTTTAATGCCACGTCAACAAAAGTATACAAAGAGAAAAATTTTAGAGTGATTACTTGCAAAGTTCAAACAAACAGAATTGTTGCTAAAGATACTTCAAAGTGTTGGATCGCTGGAGTTCATGTCCTAAACATCTACGATTAAAAATGGGCCTTACCCTAAGCTATTCCAACTCATTAATTTCCAAAGGTTAAGAAATCATGCACATTGTGGCTTATTGACACTGCTTGACGTGTAGTCTAGGAAAATTCATATTGACCACTCCTGCTGTAGTTTAATACATGAAAGGAAAAAGTTGCAAAGAGAAAATGATCGAGGCAAGGGCAAGTAACACAACTCTATAACCTCTTAACGAGTAACTGGCTAAACATTATATAAAACTATATGGAAAAAACAAATTCCACTGAAAAAATTTGATATTAGATGGTAACAAAGCCACTTACCACACAATATGAGAAAGCCTTGATTTTGTTAAAATCACTATGTTTCATGTTTTTGGCTAGCTAAGTAGAAAAATCTCAAAGAGCAAACTCTTCAGAAGTAATGCGATTAACTCTCCTGCCAGATAGTGTCATAAGTTGACTCAAAATAGGCACATATTTATATTGTTTCTTAAAAATAGATGAGATTATGGAACGCCAGAATAAGCATAGTAGCTTCAGCAGAGAACTGATAGGAAATACTAGATTTCAAGTATTCCCTAATCACTTTAGCAACAAATCTCAAAGCGAACTGCTGTCCACAGCAGGAAATCAGCAAAAAACAGTAGAAAAGTAGAGGAAAACTGCAGGAGATGAGGAGAAAACACTTGTATTTTACTAGTAGACAATGAAAATAGCAAAGATACAATTTGTTCTTCAATCCGAGAGGAAGAACAACTCTCCAAAGTTCTCCGGCGAAGCCAACCGGCCCATCCTGGGCCGGTCTAACAAGAACCCAAAGCATTATAACAGTTGCCATTTCAACACCAAAAATTTAAGGCATTGCAGTTAACAGTATAGTAATCAAAACGAGATCATTTATCAAATTCTTTCATCTATAAGTTCCTTGCACTTACAGTAGATTGTTGGCTCCGCATAGAACTATCATACCCATTAATATTTTATTTCAAAAAACAAACAGCTGGGTATTAAATTTAAAGAAAACAAAAACGTGAGATCTTTAAAATAACAAGTTTGACAACTAAAGCTAAAACCAATTACAGAATAAGTCAGAAAAAAATTGCAATCACCTTAGATTGTTTGAAGGAGTTTACTATATTTCATAGTACATATACCTCAATCAAAAGCTGCAGACATGTTAGTGACCCAGCAGCTACAGCTGACAATAGTGGAGTAATACCATCTTCTGTCTCTGCATTCGGCTGCAACCAAATAAATAATTAAATATATTTAAAAACAGATCTAAAAAGTAAACTAAATATTGAAACCTCCCTCTAGCTTATTATACACTGCATGTTAAATGTTTTCAATGGGATTTTTTTACCAGAATAAATTATATTATCAGTCATTTGAAGGAGTACAATATGAAGCAATCACAAAATATAGCTAAATGAAAAGATAAACTAAAAAGAAAACACAGCTGACAAGTCCGACAGCTGGCAAATGAACCAACGTTTCCTCAATAAAAATGTCTGATTTGAAACCTAGCATATTTGGAGAGTGAAGAAATATTTTATTGCTTTTTCCTCCCCTCATGAAATATATAATTTGAAATTTTTTATTCCGAAGCTCTTATGTGCTAGAAATGCTACATCAAGCCAACAGATAGAAAGTCCGAATCACAAATGTCCCCAGCAACAGGAAAATCATCACAAGAAAAAAGTAAAAATCCTTAAATGGGTCTACATCACTAAAATATGGTTAAATAACTTTTCTGGACTAGCAACCCAAAAATGAACTAATTCTAATACAATAACTAAATTGATTCAAAGTTTTGATTGCAAATCAGATCAGAAGCAGTTGGAACTACCACCATTGCATTCGAAGATGGATTTTTATCATATGAACGTCCTCCGCTGTACAATTGCTGGTGAATTTCAGTGGTGTTAGGTGTGCTCTGAAGCATCCTGGTAGCTTGTGACAAAAAATGTTGAAAAAGGAACGACAAGGAATTTCTTCAAACTGTGTTGTTTGCAAATAGTCACCAATTGTGGAGCTAATCCAATTTTTTTCCTCCAACGATGTAACATCCATTTCGAATAATACCCTAGCCATTGATAACCTTGATAGCCTGGCTGTATAGCATCCGCTTGAAGTAGCTTAGCAAAAATTGAGCCAAGACAAAATGATGAGGACATCCGACCATAGAGAGTTTACCAGAGATGGGATCAACGATCTATGGCCACGATTACACCGCTTTACTTTTGAGTCATCAGTTGTATTAGATTTATTATTATGTTTGTATTGAGTTTATTACTGCATATTTTCCATTTGTACCCTCACTTGAGGGAGTAGTCCTATGTAAGCTCTAGGGGCATGTTTGTCTTTTATTTCCTTCATTGTATGTTGGCTATTTAAAGCCGCCTTCTCATCTTTTGAGGTAATGATGATTATGATGATATTTTTCTGCACTTGTGTTCCTTTGTGAGTTTTGAGAGTTCTAGTGAGAATTCTTGATGAGTTTGAAGTCCCTAGGCGAGGGCGGCGTACTACCCACCAACCACAAGAAGCGTTCGGGTTCATGGTCCACCTCCTCCTCCAAAATCCTCCCCTTCCAACCGCCGGCCACCCTCTCCTTCCCCTCCCATATCATCGGATGCCACCTCCCCATCAGCCACTACCTCCTCTCCCCCAAACCGCCGGCCCTAAGCCTAGCTCGCCAACCGCCACACCCACCTAACCCCAAGCTATTTCCCTCCCATAGCCGTCAGCCTCCTTGCCCCAAAACCCTAGCCGCCGTCCACTCCCTCCCTTCCTTGACTCCAAAATTCAAACCTAGTATTCAAAACCCTTCCTAATTTAACTCCTTGTATCTTTGGGAAACTATTTGAAATTCATATTCAATTGGATTTGAATTTGGATTTTATTTCCTAAATGAGAAACCCTATTTTAGGAAAGTCCCTTAAATCTCGTCTATTTGAATTTTAAATGAGATTTGATTTAAAACAATCATTCCTATTTCAAGATTATAAATAAAGCAAGCATTAACTCCTCCACTTAAAGCCCCCTCTCCCTAATCAAGGCGCCAGCCCCTGCCCTTGTTCCCTCTCTCTCCCATTAACTCTTCCATTTAATGCTCCCAATCAAATCCTCTCCCATTAAGATGTGCCGCTCCTCCCTATCCCCAATTAGAGGAGATTCAAATTCATACTTCTCCCTCCCTCTCAAACCTCAAAATCTAAAATTAAAGTTCAGATTTTTGAATTGCATCCATCCCTTTGTCAACATACAAAATCCGGAGCCACGTTCCCTCTCCTTCCTCTGGTGCCAGCCCCTCACCACCTCTCCCTCTCTCCTTGGAATTAGTTCTTCTAATTCCCTTCCACCGAACCTCGCCCGGCCCCGAGGGATTTCCACATCGCCAATTGCTGTCCAGATTTCCTGAACATATAAAAAAGACAGCTGTCCAAAATTTTCAGCGAAGATTATTTGTTGTCCCATCATCCGAAAGTCTGTTGTGTGCTATCCAGAAGTTCCCAAGCTAGAGTTTGTCTCCCTTCATGTATGGCTGATCCGAAACATGACCACAGCTTTGTTTTCAATGATCAAGGGTTGATTGACATCCTCCGGTCACAATTCTTCGACATCAACTTTGAGAACGACCAATCTGTTGAAGACTACGTATAGAGGATCATCTTCTCCATCGTCACCGCTATTAACCAATAGCACCCTCCCGTCCAGTGGCAAATTGTTTCTGAATCCTGATAAAGGTGAACTTTCATCCAAGTCTTTTCTCTTCTAAGTTTTCCCTTCATTGTGGCGTCACAAAGGCTATGTTAGCTTTCTCCGTTTCCACCAATCATTAAAAGAGTTGAGTGAAGGATTTCTTTTCATAGTGACTAGTCTAAATGTTAACATTGGGATTCTCTTTGCAAACTTCCATGTAATGCAAAACTTGATTTAAGGAGATTATTTTGTGCTCCTACGATTATCGTGTAACTAATTGCCTAACCTATTCATCACTCCATTGTTTTAATCTTTCATTTAAAATTGCTAGAAGTGAGTAATCGTGTTTACTTTGTTACAAAGCATGTAATTTCATATTAAACATCACCTTAAGCATTTAATCCTACATCATCTGGTATCAGAGCATGGTTGTATTTAGGTGCCTAATTGCCTATAAGGAAAATTTTATTTCATGTATTAGCCTCTAAATCGCATCCTGCACTCATCAATTTACTTGCTTGTATTATCATATTATTTTTCTTCTTGCTTACATAAATCTGAGTCAGTCACCCTTAGACATAGGATGGACCCAGAACAAATTCACTGGACCTTAGATCTGTTGGTAGGTCAAATAAACACAATCACCCTACTCTGTACACATCTTCTAGGCCTCCTTCCATGTACGGGATGACACCTTACCAAATGAGGGACACCCCCGTGCCCCTTATCGAGCTCAACAGTATGGTCACGACTTTCATAATGACCCTGATACACCTTTACTGAAAAACATCAAGGTCGGTGCCCCAACCTTTGACGAAACTCTTAATACCCAACTCTTTATGGACTGGATCAAGGGCATGGATAGTTTCTTTAAGTGGTACAACATTTCTAAAGCAAGGAAGGTTAGGTTCGCTGAAATGAAACAAACGGGTAGAGCTAGCTAGTATTGGGCCCACTTAGAAAGCCTTAGGGAATCTCGTAACGAATACCCCATCACTGATTGACCTTCAATGAAATGCGAGCTCAAGCAAAAGCACTTATCTCCTTCATACTTCACTAGTCTCCTAGATAGGTGGAATAGATTAACACAGGGCAATAAACAGGTGAAGGAATACATTGCAACTTTTGACAATTACCTGATTCGCTGCAAGGGGGAGACCTCTACTACCCTTGCTCAAATTCTGTCCATGTTCCGTACCAGGTTGCACGAGGACCTGCGCAACGAACTGTTTACCCGGAACGTTACTATTCTTGAAAATGCCTACAACCTAGTGTTAGACCTTGAGAAAACTCGTCCCCAACACTCTAGTCAACACCAAGACTCTAGACCTTCCTACCGACCCTCCAGTGGTTCGGCCCCTCACCACTCCACTGCCCGGTCGACCCCTGAAAACATTACCCGACCACCTTCTGGTCCTCCCACACCCCGTCCTGACTTTAGGAGTAAGCCTCCCACCCTGACTACCCCTAGGTCTCACCTAGGGACCAAGTGCTTTCGATGCCAGTGGTATGGGCATATCTCCTCTCAGTGTTCTAGTCCTTACAAAGTCACTATTATTGAGGAGATCACTAAAGAAGAGCCTGAGCCCAAGGCTGACTAGATTCACCAAGTTGAAGATGATGATGAATTCTTTGAGGACGATGACACTGCTGTTGTCCACTATATACAGATAGTTGACACCTCTCCCATCTACGTGGTGAGATGTGCACTGTCACAACCTGTTGCCACTGATGATTGGCGTTGCCGCGTAGGACTTCAATCTACACCTACACCAAAATTAAAGATAAAATTTTAAAGTCATAGTGGATAGTGGCAGTTGCATCAATGTTGTCTCTTCTAGCATGGTGTCTAGGCTTTGTCTGTCCGTCGTTCCTCACCCTAAATCCTATAAGGTGATTTGGGTCAACTCCACTGTCTTAGATGTGAAGGAATGAAGCTTCATACCCATCTCCTTTGCTGACTATAAGAAGAATGTGTAGTGTGACATTCTGGTGATGGATATTGGACAAATCATCCTAGGGCGTCCCTGACTCTTTAATAATGATGTCTACATCTATGGGCGTTCAAACACCTGCGTGCTTAAACATGTGAGCAAAAAGACCAAACTCTTGCCAACGGAGCCCAGGGTTAAGGATGATCTTAAACCCAACCCTGTCAAGCCCAAGAAGGGGTTGAACCTTGTAACCGCCAAGGTTCTGGATTCTGAGATTGCCCAAGGCGCACCCCTATATGCCTTGGTTGGCAGTGAGACTTCCTCTGAGTCTGATGAGCCTATTCCTCAGGAGGTCCAACCCACACTGAGGGACTTTGCTGATGTCTTCCCTGATGATCTCCCTGATTAATTACCCCCGCTTAGAGACATCCAGCACGCTATATATCTTGTCCCTAGAGCCAAAAAGGTGGTGGTCATCCTGTATGAACCCCTTGAGCTGTTGACTCTAGCCCCTATCTCCAAGTGCCTCTGATCCTCTATTAATTGGGCTAGCTACATAGCCTTCTCCCAAATCACGAGACCTCATCACTCTAACTATTGTTTAAATCTCTGGTCTGAGCCCTTTTCATAAAGTTCCCCTCCAGTACAATCTCCAGAAGCCAATCCAGTCGGCTAGCCAAGTGCTCAAACTGCTCACGGTACTCCACCATTGTCCCCTCCTGTATCAGGGCGAAGAATTGCTTATGGAAGTCGCATCCCCTGCTGGTTCAGAAACGATCCAACAAGCATTCTCTAAATTCCCTCCAAGTCCATATGGGTAGCCTCGTATCCCTCCATTGGTACCATGCCAACGTTTTCCCCTCCAAGTGCATCTCGGTCGCCGTTAGTCGCCCCTCCGCCAACCTATTGACATTAAAATACATTTTCACCCTGTATATCCATCCATGTGCACCATCACACTCAAAAATAGGCACCTTTAGGTTCCTCACCCTTGGATCTCCTCCATTCACCCTATTTTCTCCATAATTTCATATTCACCAATATGTTCGTACCCAAACCTTTCGTCAAAATCTCACTTCCACCTTTCAAATTCAGCACCCCTTGGATTATAATCAGTTATTCTCCTTTCAAATTTAGTCCATTTCCTTTCAAATTCAATACCCCTTCGGTCATAATCAGCCCCTCTCCTTTCAAATTCCACCCCTCCTCTCAAATTCAGCACCCTTTCGTTCATACCCGACCCTCTCACATCTCTCCTCATACCCTCTACCCGACTCCTCCTTAGGAATAGGCTTTAGTGGAGGCATTCTCTCCTCCCTCCAAAATCTCCACCTCATGATCTTCTTTTAGCCTTATCAAAATAGGGTTTTTCCCGACTTTCTTAGCTGTTGGAGGCTTCCCTCGCCTCTAACAACGCCGTCTTGGGTTGGCCCTCGAGAAACTTTTTCAACATCTCCTCTAGGATGATAAATTTTTCATCAATCTTCTCATGGACGGCTGAAATTTGACTTTTGAAATATGAAAATTGAGTTTGGAGATCCAAAATTTCATATTTCAATTGTCCGATGTCTCCCTCCAACACTTCTATCTTTCTTCCCGGCACAGGTACCCGGATCAAGGCTCCAAACCGCAAAAAATAATAATTCTAGTATTCAACTAGCATAAATCAACAATTTGGTGGGGAAAACGCAGCAGAATTTGGCAAGTAAATGTCAAGCCCAGGACACGGCTCTGATACCAATTTGATAAAAAGTGGATACAATTTCTTTGAAATCAGCAAACAACAATAAGAAATTAGGAAGAAGAACACACCAAAATTATTTTCCTTGCAAGATATATGAAAGAAAAAGCAAGATACAATTGGATCTTCAATTGGAGAGGAAGATCCGGCTCTCCCAAATCCCTAGACGCCGGGCCTAGAGCCCTCTCAAAAAAGACTAAAGCAAACATAAATCACCTCCTTGAGGACAAGATGACATATTGGGAGGGAAAGGCATTTCATGTAAAAAGTCATCCAGTGATAAAATTGAAATGTTCACATATGCTAATTAAGCTGGAGATACATCACACTGAAGATCCTCATTTACCTAATGTCTAATGTTTAGGCAATCATAATAATATGAAGTAATGAATAATATATGGTCTCAAGAAGTAGGGCTGAGCTTGAATACAGGGCAATGATACTAGGTATTTGTGAAGGAAAAGAGTTAAAAAAATTATTAGAAGAGCTAAACTATCAAGTAGAAAATATATAAGACAATATTATGACAGTTGGACTACCATAAGTACTCTCTTCAGATTTAAAGACCAGTTCTCAGATTTATGACTCTAGAATTAAACACTCGTTTTCAGATTTATTTCTTTCCCTCGCATCTCTATTAATTTAGGTACAACTACTTATAATTTTTTATATAAAATAAAAGAATAAAATTCAATCATAAAATATCTTTTTTTACCCTTCTTCTCATTTTAATTTTCAAGAGTAAACATATAAATTTTAACTGCCAATATGACAACATACATCAGCTTTATGCTCCAACAAAACCTTCACCGAATCTTGTTGTCCGTGGCCAGCAGCCCAAATTAAAGGAGTACCAGCATCACTTTCTGAATCAACTTTTACTCCTTTGGAAAGTAAAAGCTTCAGCAACTCAATGTCTCCTACAATTTATCAATTTAAGAAAAAGAGTCTAAAATGGAATGGAAGAGAAAATATAGGATATTTAACAATTTTAAGAAATACATATATTTAAGAAGATAATAGTGAGTTTAAAGGATTAGCTAGGTATGACAAACAATAAACATCCTAAGCATCATCTGGTACAGAAGAAAAGAAAAAACAAAACAGGAAAAATAAGACTAGTGCAAAATGGACAGTTATGAAAAGATGCTAGCAAAACTAAGAAATTCAGAATTCCTTGGAAGGACAGTTTTACAAATAAAAAAAATTGATTAAAGATTTAGCACTAAGAAGAATGGACAATTAGGAATCATAAATCCAATCCCAAATAGTTGGGATAAGAATAGTGATGATTGTGATAAAGATGATATAGCTAAATCAGCAGAAAAAACATTGCAGCTTTTACACAAACTAAGGTCCATCCAAATAATTAAGCTAACAAGAGTGTCAACTGGCTATACAAGCTCAAAAACCAATCCTAAGGACATTGCTAAGTTACTGTCAACACCTATTCATCTTTCAGGAGTTGTAGGCAAAAAAGGGCTTGTAAAGTTAAATCATGATCATAAAAATAAGGCTTCTATAGAATTGATTGAAAGGACGTAGAAGAAGCTTCTAGTACCCTACCTTGAACAAGAATGACAAGGAAGATTTAAAGAGCTATGCTGGCAACTTTTGGTTGTTTCCCAAGGTTGGAAGTTAATGTATGGCAATTGAATTAAATATTACCAAACCTTGCCTTGAATCTTCTTAGTGACTGTAGACTAGCACACCATGAATGTGTTGGGACTAGGGACAAATGAACTGACAATATGGAGATGCCACAAGCAGATTACTTGCATGTTGATGCAGGAAATCTCACGGTTAGAGTTTCTTAATGCAACTAAATGATATGTAGTATTAATTCAATTTGAGGACTCACATATCACAAGCCACCGATTAATTCAACAACTTATTTTTTTAAAATATAAATAATCAATACTGAAATTAGAACCCAAATGATAACAAAATGATCATAATAATTAAAAGAAATTGGTAAGAATTTAGGAACACAAAATCCAACGGGCAATTGTAATTTAATTCTCACAAATTGAATCTTAGTTGTGCCAAATTTGAACAGAATAAGAGTAATAACAAGCTAATTTCAAAATATGTAGAGGAATGAGGATTGAAAGTAATCAAATATGATGCTTTCCCAAGATTCAAGTAGCCACACTTGTCGTGTACAAAATGTATCACACAACCAACTTGCACACACAAGATTGAAATTTAGAAAGAAAAATTTTATATAACAAAAGTTGTTCAACCACATGCCTCAAAACATCTATTTATATAGTTCTCATTCTTAGATTAGTAGATATAGTTGATAAAGAATTAGTTTAATCTGAGTTAAGTTTATTCCTGAATAATAATAATTATTATTAATCCTACTTAAATTTACTCCTGAAGGAGAATATTTAATTCAACAAAATTTCATTTTCCAACTCCTTGTCCCATCAATCCAACCCCATCAGTTTGACAATCCTGCTAATAATATGTGAGGATGCACAAACTTAGCATATAGTGAATTTGGTTAGTTCAGATGGATTGGTTGGCGGATTTGTTAAACACATTATACCAAATCAAAATATATGTATTCAATCAATTCGGAGGCATTGGTTGATGGATTTGTTAAACCAATTATGCCGAACCAAATTATAGGTCAAACCAAAATTTATAGTAATAAGAATATTTTTTTTCTTTAAGTTTGAAAACATTTTGACTTCTAGGTTTAATCGAATTTTTCAAAATTCAAAAAACCCTTATTCCAAAACCAAAAACAGAATCACAGTAAATAAATCGAACCAAACCAACCAAATATACTTGATTTGGTTCGATTTTTTTATGTAAACCAATTAATGCATGCTACTCAGAAGCTGAGAGATCAGATCAAGAATAATATGGAGGGTGTATATACGTTAGACTCAAATTATAAAAGAAAAAAAGTGTATATATTTAAGCATACAAGATTCTATAGGTATGCATTAATGAAATATTAAAGTACATCTAAACAACAAAATTAAAGTTTTCAAGTTTCAACAAGAAAAGAAAACAGACCAATTCCAGCCGCATGGTGCAAAGAAGTGGCCCCCAATTCACTAGCAGCAGAAGGATTTGCTCCTTGTTCTAGGAGATAATTCACAGTCTGAAAATGTCCTTGACGAGATGCATGGAGAAGTGGAGTTTCACCTATTAAAAAAATAACTAAAAAATGTTACATACAGATGCAAAAAATATGTTTAAAGAAGGATTGCAAACAAGTAAGTAAAACACTAACTTGTAACAATTCTTATGATAGCTAGCAATAGATGAATTATTCAATTAATATAGCCATTAAAAAAAGAAGAGTTAAGGTAGCAAACCAAGTTTAATCTAAAGAACACAATCTCCATGGAATATATGAATGCATTAAGCTTCATCTTACTGCAAATTACTAATTCATTCAGCTGAAAACTATGAAACACTAAAACTTCAAAAAGACCGAAATATGTTAGACTCATTGAAAAATCAGGTAATGATATACTTTCTTTTCCAAAAGTATAACATGATATGGTCAGGATAAACTCTAACACAGCTGAGACACCTCTACACAAATAAAGCAGGTAATGACAATGAACTGTAATTTTTTTATGGCCAGCTTAACAAATATTTTTTTTTTAACGATGATGGTGAAAGTTGCATTGAAGAGTATATTAATGATAGCGGTGATTATAATCATGATTCTGAGTCAATTAGTATAATACATACATACAAACATACATACACCAAAATTTTTAAGCCGCACATCTGCAGTTTAAAATTGGGGGCCAAAAATGAAGCCTTGCTACTAGCACATAATTTGCAATTGATAGAGAAGCGGAGCAAGGAAGTAACTAGCGACTAAAGACGCTAGTAGTGTTCCTAAGAAAGCAAATCTATAATAGGATTTCCAAGCAAGCAGCGAAAGGCATCAAAACATAGCAAAGCCTGGAACAAACGAATCATACCGTCATCGTCTCTCACATCAGCATCAAGCTTCAGTTCTTCCAGCAAGTACTTGCAGACCTCAGTCTTCCCCTCCCTGGCCGCAAAGTGAAGAGCCGTTCGATTGTTCGCATCCTTCACATCAGCCACAGTCCTCGCCAACCCCTTCCCTTCGTCCAGCTGCATTGCCAGTTCTGCACAACATCAAGAACATCAAATACCAAGAAAAAAGAGAAAACTACAACCCCAATAAACCATATATACAGCAAAATCTCACTTTTGAAAAGCTCGAGTTTTCCCGTTCGCGCGGCATCGAGAAACTTCTTAACCTTCTCCCTCACTGCACCAAAGGTGAAAACAAACGATGGAAGCCAGTTTACATGAGGGACGAAACGGAAGCGAAGCATACAAAAATCTTTAACAGAAAAAAGAAAGAGATTGACCTGCTAGGGCTGAAGAAGCGTCAGAGGACATTGCTCCGTAGCGTGGGCGCTGCGAAGAATGGAGAAGACGAACTGAAGCCTCGAAGACAAATCTTTGGGGGCTGTTTGAAATTCGGATTTAATAAATTTTGGGGGTGTTAAATGTTAATGTTAAATTTTGATAAATTTTGAGAAATTATTTGACAATGTAATTCATATTTAAGATAGCTGATTTAATTTTAATTATTTTTAATATATTATAATGATAAATAATATAACTATGAGCTAATTTATATTATAAATTATGAAATTAGTTATTTAGGTGTTATTTATAAAATTATTTATTATATTACTCATTATCTAATTATAATTTTTGAACCATAATTAATTTGTTAGTTATTGTTGAAATTAGAAATTATTTAACTAATACTCATATTAATGATATAATTAATTATTTAAGTATTATTTAATTACTAATTATATTATTAATTATCTCTTTGATCACTTAAATATTCAACCATTAATTAATTATTTAGTTATTATTTACAATATTAAGTATGTAATTAACTATTTTTATTTTAAATTATATAAATTAAACTAATTTAATGACCAATTATACTATTAAATTTTTTTATTTAATTCAATTTATTTAAATATAAATTAAATTAAGGTAAGATTTACTTCAATTAATTTAAAATAAATCAAGATTAATTTAATTTGGGCAACAATGTTTATAATTTTTTGAAATATCATTTATTTATTTCATAAAAATCCTTTAAAATCCTATTAAATTAATTAAAAATGGGTCAAACCGGGTCGATATTTCGGGTTTCCGGGCCAACCGGAACCCGGCCCGGTTTTACAAACGGGTCGAAATCTCTAACCCGAACCCGAAATTTTCGAGTCAGGTTCGGGTCGGGTTTTCGGACCGGGTCAAATGTTGACAGCTCTATCTAAAAGGCTTTGGTAAAATTGATTTGCAAAACGGATACTTAACGATCCCAAAAAACTCACTTATACTGATATGTGTCAATTTCTTAAGGAATTGTAATTGAATGAAAAGCTTCTTATTTTATATTTACATTTCCATAAAATTAGAAAAAAAAAAGTATGATAATTAGAGTACTACGATATTTCGAATATAATAAATATGATTTACAAATTAGAATTAACACGGCCCGATTCAGAGTTAAGTTAATTTAAGCTAATTTTAGGTAAGTAATATTATTATAATAATTTAAGCTAATTTTAGGTGAATTTATTAAATTTAAATATTTAATTTAAGTGGTTAGCAAAGGCGTAGGCACATAGAAGAAGGTGGAAATAAATATGATTTACAAATTAGAATTAACACGGCCCGATTCAGAGTTAAGTTAATTTAAGCTAATTTTAGGTAAGTAATATTATTATAATAATTTAAGCTAATTTTAGGTGAATTTATTAAATTTAAATATTTAATTTAAGTGGTTAGCAAAGGCGTAGGCACATAGAAGAAGGTGGAAGGCATACGAGAGTTAGGTTTTATAATAATTTAAGCTAATTTTAGGTAAGTAATATTATTATAAAGATTATAACAATAAAAAAATTTATTAGCTAGATAAATGGATTCCCATGCCCTCAAAGCCCCTACTAATATATTTTAAGAAAGTGCTAATATACTTCTCATTAAAAAAAATGATTTTATTAAATTTAAATATTTTTAATATTCATTTTAACTAAATTTGAATTAGAATATTCTATTTATGACCAAAAAATTTTCTCTTTTTAGTTCCACCTTTGTTTGTCCAAAGCCCAACAGCCATTGATTCCAAAAGATTCCATTCTTTTCTCCCCCACAATTTCTCAACAAACTCCCTTTTTTCCGCCTCTACAAATATATCTCCGACACCCCGACCTCCACCGCCACAACTCCCATTCCTAAACCCTAAACTCTCTCTCCCACAACATGTCATCCCCCGACTGGCTAAACAAAGGCGACAATTCATGGCAACTCGCCGCGGCCACTCTCGTGGGCCTCCAAAGCGTCCCTGGCCTCGTCATCATCTACGGCAGCATCGTCAAGAAGAAATGGGCCGTCAACTCCGCATTCATGGCTCTCTATGCCTTTGCCGCGGTCGTCGTCTGTTGGTCAATCTGGGCTTTCCGCCTCTCCTTCGGCGACCCACTTCTACCCTTCTGGGGCCGTCCGGATCTCGCCGTACTCACTAATAGCTATATCACCTCCCCAGGCTTCGCCGGCATGTATCCGGCCGCCACGCTCGTCTACTTCCAATCGGTGTTCGCGGCCATAACCCTTATTCTGATCGCCGGTGCTTTGCTCGGCCGGATGAATTTCAAGGCTTGGATGCTATTTGTGCCGCTGTGGCTTACTTTTTCTTACAGCATTGGATGCTTCAGTTTATGGAGTCCGAATGGGTTTCTGTCGAAGGCGGGGGTGATGGACTTCGCCGGAGGATATGTTATTCATCTTTCGTCCGGAATTGCAGGGCTCACCGCCGCCTATTGGGTAATTGATTTTTCATGATTAATGTTTTTTATTAAATTTTAATTTATTATTTTTCACTTAAAAAATCATTTTTATTATTTTAATAGTTCTGATTTGATTTTATTGATTTTGATTGAAATTGATTTGAAGTACGCTGAACTGCTTATGAGAGTTCTATCTCTCCTTCTCCACAATCTGTATTCGTGCGTATTAACTTTTAATTATTTTTTACTCTCCTTAAAAATAATAATAATTTTAAGTCATTAATGATTTTATTTTATTTTATATTTTTTGCTTGAATATCATAGCTATTGAAAATATTTTAAGATTTTATAATATTTTTTCCGAAATTGTATTAGGATAATTGAGATTTTATTTGAGACAACTTTCTAAGTGCTTTATAAAGCTATTTTTTAAAAAAAAAAATATTAAAAGCATGAAAAAAACTAATGGTTTAGAGCCAAAAAATTATTAAAAGCATGAAAAAAACTAATGGTTTAGAGCCATCTGAAGACTAAGTTTCATATTTATTATAGGTTGAATATAATTAAATGATTTGTGAATTATAAATTATAAATTAGTTAATAGTAAAATTAAAAACCAAAATTAAGGAGTTTTTTAGGTTATTTATATATTGCATTAATTTAAAAATAAAAATAATAAATAAACCCTTTAAATTCGTCTTATGTGATTTTTTCCCGACCTTCTCAGGTGGGCCCAAGGATACACAAGGACCGCGAGCGCTTCCCTCCGAACAACATCCTCCTAACCCTCGCCGGCGCCGGCATGCTCTGGCTCGGCTGGACCGGTTTCAACGGCGGCGCTCCGTACGCCGCCAACATCGACGCTTCCGTCGCCATCCTAAACACCCACATATGCACCGCCACCAGCCTCCTCATCTGGCTCTGCCTCGACATCTCCTTCTTCGGCAAACCCTCTGTCATCGGCGCCGTCCAGGGCATGATCACCGGCCTCGTTTCCATAACCCCCGCCGCCGGCCTCGTCCAGTCCAATTCGGCCCTTCTCATCGGCGTTTTCTCCGGCAGCATTCCTTGGTTCACTATGATGGTTCTCCACAAACGCATTCGCTTTCTCAAAAAGATCGACGACACGCTCGCCATTTTCCACACGCACGGCATCGCGGGCGCACTGGGCGGGCTATTAACGGGCCTTCTGGCCGACCCGAAGCTGACCAAGTTATTTTTTGGGGATGACCCGAAATTCATCGGGCTAGTTTTCGCGTTGAAGGATGGGAGGGTTCGGGCCGGGTTCAGGCAGATGGGCATGCAGGTGGTGGGGATACTGTTCGTTGCTTCTTGGAATGTGGTGGTGACGACGACGATATGTCTGGTGATTAGGATGGTGGTGGTGCTGAGGCTGAGGGAGGAGGAGCTGGTGGTGGGCGATGATGCCATACATGGGGAGGATGCCTATGCGGTATGGGGGGATGGGGAGACATATGAGAGGTCTGTTCATGGCCATGTGGGCTTTGATGGGGTTAAGGATGAGGAGATGATGTGATGTGGTGTTATGTGATGTGATTGATGGATGGTTGATTAATGTTGGTTTCGTGAAATTATTCTATACAGAGTCCAGATGGGAAGTTCTCATCCGAATTATGAGTTTACAAACTGTGTACAAATAGTGTGTACATAATTTGAATCAAATAATGTACGAAAATTTTACTCGTTGTACAAAATATGTACACTCATAATTTGGACGTGAGCTTCCCGTCTAAACTCCTCACAGAATAGTTTCTCGGGAGATAGGAAGTATCTCTAAGCAAATATTGATTTATTTTTTATGTTATTTTATTTATTTTATGTGTGTAATTAATTTTTTAGAGTTTTGTTTGTGAAGTTTGAAATTTATAATGGTTTTTATATATATCATAAAACTCTCATGTATTTGTATTTTTTATAGTTCTTTGTGTAATGTCTTGAAATATAATATTATAATTCTGGTACTTAGAAAATTAAGGGTATTATTTGCAAAATTTTATTTTATTTTATATGTTGTATTATGATTCTTGTATGATATTATGATGGGAGAAAAAGGCTCTTATTTGCAACATTTGAGATGTATTAAGTTCCTTCACTCATGCTGAGATTTGTTCTTCAATAGTCTAAGGCTGACATTGTCTTTGAATACCTAATTTTGAAAAATTGGAAGGAGCTTAAGAAAAGTTATATATATATAAGCCAATTAGGTAATAAGACATGCACTTTGTTTGAGGGACTTTGTGGGTGATAGGTGAGGGAAGTCCATCCATGTTTATCAACATCAGTGCAATCCCTGGGAGGACTTATCTGATTACATATGGTCCCAATTTGGCTTGAACTTCCTCTGGGAAATCTAAGGTTGGGTACGCATCGGGTACCCAACTCTGTGTGGGCAAGCTTCACCCACCCACGCCTACCCATGATAATTTTCAGGATGTCGTACCCACCCATACCCACTAACTTTCCACACTCTATAAATACAGTCCACCACAAATTGATGGCCTAGAGGCTTGTTGCACTTTCTATGATCGCAGTGTGGTTCAATGTTGCGTACTGCCTAATGAGGATTATGATAATATACGACATATGACGATTAACAATATAAATCAATTTATTCTCCAATGTTGAGTACCTACTCACCCACCCACCTATGAGAAAATGTTTTAGAACTTTAAAAATTATTAATAATTATTTTTATTTGAACCGGCCGTAAGAACGGTTCACGATTGAACCGGTCTAACTGGTAGGTCCGATTCGATTTTCAAAACACTAGTTCTGTCTCTCCTTCTCCACGATCCGCATTTAAGCGTACCAACTTCTAATTATCTTTGACTTCTAAAAATAATAATTTTAAGTCATTAATGATTTTATTTTATTTTATATTTTTGCTTGAATATCATAGCTATTGAAAATATTTTAAGATTTTAAACTGATTTTTTCAAAATTGTTTTATGATAATTGAGATTTTATTTAGGTTTCGTTTGAGACTAATTTCTTAGTAGTTTATAAGGCTATTTTTTTGTTAAAAAGATTTCTCAAAAACAAGAAAAAAAAAACTAATGATTTAGAGCCATCCAAAATGAAGACTAAGTTTCATATTTATTATAGGTTGTATATAATTAAACGATTTGTGTATTTTAAATTCTAAATTAAATTATAAATTAATTAATAATAAAATTAAAAACTAAAATTAAGGAGTTTTTTAGGATTAGCTTTTTTATTTTTATTTAAAATTTATTTTGTTCCATATTTCTCGAATTTTTAATTTTCATTTTTGACAAAATTCAAGTAATATTAAAGTGTAAACAAAATAAAAGTGATCTCAAACAACTGCTAAATACTTTATGGTCAATTTAAATCATTGTTTGAACCATACTTTAAAATTGAAGAAAATTCTATATCTATTAAATTTACTTTGAGATAAAAATAATAATATATTATTAATTAATATTTATATTATATTTAGTAATTAAATACCAAACTCTTATTTTATTTCATATCTAAAGCACAAACTATTCATATATATTACATTCATTTAAAAAACCCTAAATTGCAATTTTGAAAATTCTAATTAATTATAAACATTTTTTGAAGTTAAAATCTCTTTAAATTGCATTTTTGAAATTAATTTCCTAACAAATTTTTAAAATAAATATCAACAACTAAACAGACAAAATCTTACCTTAATTATATTTAAGATAAAAGGAATTATTTCCTTTAGAAAATTTTTTCTTTTCAAATGAATATAATCTTTTACGTAAATATAATTTTTGCTCACTAAAGATTTTAATTTGCTTAATAATTTGAAAAAGAAGATGAAACGTTCAATAACTTAATTATAAAAAATAGCACAAGATGACACATCAACTTGTATAATATTCACGAAGGTGTAAAAATGTACATAATATGCTTGGGTGTGATATAATACCAAAAGGCTATTAATATATGTTGACCTCATTGTTCGAAGTCAATTTCCCCGGAATCGACTCTAGTACCTAGGTTTTCGTACCCTAGTGTAGATGTCGCACCCATAAGATTTCTCTTAGGTGAACGCCCACTAACATAGCATCGACTCGAACCTATCACTCGATTCGAATCAAAATCAATTCAATCTAGATTTTAATTCAACTCCAAACGAACTCAAATCAAGCTCGATTTATGATTTGTCGATATCGATCGACTTAATTTAATATAATCTAATTCGATTTCGATCAAATTGATATATCTTTGGGCTGAAATCAATTCACCAATCAAACACCAAATTTTTCTAATAAAATTTGTTTTAATTCTAATCAAATTAAAATCAACCCATCCATTGTATTCTAAATTTTTCTTTAATAAAATTTCAAAAAAATTTTTTTTTTTAAGATCAGCCGTTTAAATCCCGTTTTAAAGTATGAATTAATCTTAGCCATTTGATTTGAATTAAGAGGTGATGTTGGATTTGCTTAGGCAGTATAACCACCCAGCACCCACGTCTCTCTCACTCCCTCTCTCAATTTCGGAAAACCCTCTCCCTCACTACAGTTCGCAACTCCCGATCTCCCTCTCTGGATCGCACAAGAAAACTCCTCCCCATTCGGTACTCTTTCATTCGCCCGAAGCCAGAGACCGATCGCCCTAGCCGACGTCGCTGCTCTCCCTCTCATCCCGAACTCCTCTCTCCGTCGCACCTCTCTCTCGGCTCGTGAGAAAATACAGGCGGAAGAAGCACGCAAGAAAAGCTCCTTTGCCTCTCCCAGTCGTGAAATCTCCAGGCCCTCGTCGCTCTTTGTAGTTCACGAACAGCTTCAGCCCGTGACCTCTCGCACACGAAGCCCAAGGAAGCCGAAGAGAGTTCCGAAATCCCCAAGGCTTCATTTCCTTCTCCATTCTTAGAGCACAAATCTCCCCATCCCCTTTGGATTCATATTTCAAGATCTAGGTGAGATCCCTCTCCCGTTCGCTTCTCCATTTCGCACGACCCCGAGGCCTAATCGAAGTCGTCGCAAGCTCTAGTCGCCGGCTTTCCTTACTTTGCAAGGTAAATTCATCCCATTCTTCTCGTTTCCTTTTTCCCCATTCTTTTCCATATAATTTCTTCTCAAATCTCTTTATTCTTCTTAAACAATGATCTCATTTGGTTCATTTTTTTTTTATATAAGAGTATAGATTGTTTTTTATTTTATACTTCTTAAATCAGTTAACATCTCTTGAAATTAGAAAAGAGGATTTCTTTATATCATTTTCATAAAAAAAAAAATTCCTGAAACTCCAATTTCTTGATTAAAAAATGAGGGCAGTTTAGTTTATTTTGTTCTCTTTTTGTTTCTCTTAGAAGAAGACTTTTATATAATAGAGCTTGCTTTTTGATGCAAGATTTGTTGAACCTATAAATATAATTGCATTATTTTCTCTGAAAAAGGGTTTAAGATAGTGTTTGCTAAGAATTTTCTATTCATTTTTCTTAAAAAAAAAAAAAGTGGTTTATATAAGGCCTTACTTTCTAAATATGTTAGTTAAGTGATATAATACCATATCAATGAAATAATATTAACTAATATATATATATATATTTTAAAAGATGCAACCTACTGCATTGCATTAATCACCAAAAAGAAAATACAAATTACAAAATATTAACATTAGATTCATCCTTTAACAAACTAATAAAAGGAGGAACCTTATTCATAGTAATATATTCCTAAAGAAAACTTCTAAAGAGAGCATAGTTAGCACATAAGTCCGCTAAGTTATTACAATTCCTATCTATATAGTTGAAAATAACATGATTGAAATCCTTGATAAAACCAAGATCTTTCATCCCCTGACCACCTCTCCTATTCTTGAAGAAACTTAATGATATTGGAATTATCCCTTATAATTGAACTTCCAATCCTTAATGACATCCTTAAGAGATTGAATAGCTAAATGCTCCAATCGAGAAACATCCCAATGAACACAAGTATGTCCAAATGCCAAAAGAAAATTTACCTTTACTATGATTAAAGTCATCATTATTTCTAACTTTATATGACAGTAATAATGAAGCATCAAACATTAACTTTGATCCAATCTAGTGGAAGAGGATGCCAATGATTACACAACAGCCTACTTGAATAATTAGCACCATAGTGGCCCGAGTTAAAATTATCATTAAATGTAGAAACTGTAACATAACTTTTAGAATTAGCAGCAATCACCATTGAACTTTCTTCATTGCCTTCATGAATCACCTATTCCCAGACTTCCATGAAAAGTATACTAAATTAATGTTTGAATCATATTTTAAAATTGAAGAAAATTCTATATATATTAAATTTACTTTGAGATATATAGATATATTACATTCATTAAAAAAACCTTAAATCCTAAACCTTAAGCCCTTCTCAGGTCGGCCCAAGGATACACAAAGACTGCGAGCGTTTCCCCCCAAAGGACATTCTCCTAACCCTCGGCGCCGGCATGCTCTGGCTCGGCTAGACCTGTTTTAACGGCGGCGCTCCTTACGCCGCCAACTTCGACTCCTCCGTCGCCATC